TCAATCTTTCGGACTTCTTTAGCCATTACTTATTTTTAAACATCCATAGTCTTTTGTTTCTATGGATTTTATTACAAATCTTTTAATTTCACGTTCTTATGATTTTATGTTTGTAATAGTAGATTATCTCACTACGATGACACATTTTGTATCATATACAAAATCTATTATATGTAAAAAAATAGATAAGTTTTTCCTTGATAATATCTATTATTATTATGGATTGTCTAAGGATATTATATTAGATAGGAAGTTTCAATTTGTATGAAGATTTTGAAAGACTTTTTTCAAGATTCTAAAGGTAGACATATAAATATCTTTGATATTCCATCTTCAAATTAATGGCCAAAAAGAACAAATAAATCAAGTTTTGGAGCAGTATTTAAAATATATTATCAACTATCAACAAGATGATTGCATAACTTTTTTGGATTTTAGCAAAGTTTTCTTATTATAATATAACATATTCTTCTATTCAACAAATATCTCTTTTTACTAAATATGGTTATCATCCACAACTTAATATTTTTTATTTATCAAAAATTAATAATCTTAAAGCATAAAATTTGATGAATTATTTATCTAAGCTATATACAAAAATGAAGGTACAACTAAAAGAAGATCAAGAATGACAAAAGATCAACATGGATGCTTATTAGAAGAAAAAACCTCAATTTCACATAAGTGATAAAATAAAGGTTATTTTGTTATAATATCAAGACTATTTATACTTGTGACAAGTTGGATCATTATAGATTTGAACCATTTCTTATATGAAAACAAGTCAATCCAATAGCTTATTGATTAAAATTAGAATATTTTTTTCATTGATATAAATATAATATTAGTGAATATACAAGAGAGCCAGTAAGGAATCTTACAAATGTAATAGAGAAGGTCAAAACTTTTTATCAATGACATCCATCAAAATCAAGATGATGAATCAAAAAAATCTTTTCTATAAAAAAAAGATGTTCAATGAAGATTGCATTCCATCTTCTATCTTTTATTACAATTTTTCTATTATTAGTAATAATAAGATGAAAAAACAATAGCCAACAGATTCAATTTAAGAACTATCATTTGTCAACTTATTAAACAAGATATTGTAATTATCACAACCTTCAAGAAAATATAATATAAATGAAGACCTTTAAGAAAAATATGTTTTTCATTGAATAGATAGTAAGATAAAATGGATTTTGTATCACAACCTTACAAGAGATTCTTGATGTTTGGTAATTTTATTAAAAGTAGGAATAATTCTTAATGATATTATAAATATTTTATTTGAAAGAAGTTATAAAGACCTCAATAATGTTCAAATAATAGGATGATCTTCTTACTTGAGAATGAGACGTTATCAATGGCTAAAAAGACCTATTAACTATCTTTAAAAGAAAAAAAAACATCAAAATATGTAACAAATATAATTTTTTGCATCTTGGACTTCATCAACAATAGATCACCACTTCTCATAGAACTTGTCCCTAAAAGATATATTATCATAGACATATATATTTGTCTTTATAATTATCTAAATAATATAAATAAATAGAAGTAAATAAAAATAGTTTAATTTGATAATATCTTATAGAATTTTTTTTAAAGCTTTATAGATGCAAATTCATCTTTATATGTGTCTATGAGTGATTCATAGATTGAATATTTGACTAATAAGTTAGCCATATATCACAAGTATTGGTAGCTCATGGTATAAGCTAACTATGTGGTATACATAAAGAAAACTTGCCTTAGAAGTCAAGACATATGTCTTACAAATTGAACACATATTCAAAGTCTTATAGAATATCAACATGTAGCTTTTAATTAGATAGTATATATAGAAACAAGAATTAAGTATTTTTTATTCTTGTCAATTCTTTTCTTGTTTCTAGTCTAGTTTCAAGAATCTTTAGATTTCTAATCTTTGATAATAGCCATTCCAATTTCTTCTTGAATATACATACTTTTTTGTTATCATTTTTTCTTCATTGATACTTATCTCACTTATTTATGTATCTTCTTTGAGTTCTTGTCCTTGACATGATGTTTAGAATGTCATTGGTGTTACTGAGATAAAATTAGGAAAGTCTCTTATATTTGGCCTTCCAATACTATAACAATTTTTAGATGATCATGAAGAGTTTCAAAAGAAATCAAATTTTGATAAGGCTAACAAGAAACAATCCGGAGGTCCTTTATATGCTCTCATTGTTATTATTATAAGAGAACTTATATTGCATGTGCACACTTATCAAAAGCCATGCTTTACAATTAGAATACTTTTTTAGATGTTTATTATTTGTGAGGGTTCTTAGAGCAAATGTTTTTGAAATAAAAGTTGACAATGGTTCTAGTATGTTTGTTGAATTGGATTTTTGAATTACTACCAATATGGGCTGGAAACTTTATTGTATTTTTTTAATTTGAAAGTTCATTAATTCCAAAAATGATAAAATTTTAAAATCAAAATGCATTTATAAATTAGAATAAATATTGGCATTAGTTCTAATAAATAGATCACTTAGTACTTTTAAGTGGAAACATAAAAGGGTTGAGATGTAAGTTGAAAACAAAAGAAGCAAAGATTGAAAATAGATGAGGTCAAGATGAGAGTTGAAAACATAAGAAATAGGGGTTAGAAATAAGGGGAGTTAAGATGAGAGCTAAAAACAAAGGAAGCAAGGGCTAAAAACAAAGAAAGTAGAAATGAAAGCCATGATGCTAATAATAGTTTTTAGAGATGACTTATTTTTTTAATAATAGTTATAATAAGATGGATCAATTTAATAAAACAATGATCTATTTAATATTTTCTTTTATTTTTATATATATTTTCATATTCTTTTTAATTTATTATTAAAAAAAGTTTCGAATGACATGTAATGGATGGAGATATAAATGCAATAGCAAAAATTATAGTGGCATTAACAATGCCTTATTATAAGTATATCAAAAACTTTTGTTTTAAACACTAATCTAAAGTTTTAGCTCTTAAGATATTTTTTCATGCTAAAACTACTATTTCGATGTCTATTAATTTATTTTTATTTTTTAAAATATTTCTTTGTAATAGCAATTTTTAGTAAAGTTAATAAATTTTTGATTACATATTATATATTATTTATGATTAAATAAACAAATAACTATCTGAAATTATATAAATATTCTTATTTATATTATTCTACAACATGTTATGGTCATTGTAATCTTATATATATACTAGAAAAATCCATGTTGTTATGCATTGCAATCTCTAGCACAACCATCCATTTTCTTATTAATCTATGCTTCTTTGTTTTTATATTTCCTCATTCATCTACATTTCTTTATTTATTGGTTTCTATATTTACTAAGTTTACTAAATTTCTTTCTTCATAGCTAATTAAAAGGTTTTTTTATCTTTTGTATTATACCTAAGTTGGTATTATACTTAATTTGGTCTATAAGCAATAGTTATAAGGATTTTTCTTTAAATAAGTTTAGAATTTAGTATAAAACATAGTCAATTAACTAAAGTTGAGTATAGATGTGCACAAAATAGGTGAACTATGGTAAAAGAAGAATTGTAAAGAATATTACTATCAAATTCATATTGTATTTTCCAACTATATTTTCTAACTATTGTAAATAAATTATTCTATAAAAGTAAAATAAAATAAAATAAATAACACTTAAAAATAATATGAAATAGTATGGTAATAGAATATATATTCAAAGAATATGTTGAAAGGATTGCCAAAATATTTTTACATAAATAATTTATGAAATTTTTATACAAATTTTGTATGGATGAATAGATTTTTTTCCATCAAGATATAAGTATATATATAATTACTAAATTAATCTATTTTTTTACTAAATTGACTAATTTTTCTCCAATTCCATCTATTTTTTAATAAAATACATGTGAAGTACTTGTTGCCTTCCTTAAATATAATACTAATTTTTGCAAATGGATACATGAAATTGAAATTGTTTGATTATTTGGATCAAAGAAGAGTAGAAGTTAGAATCTTGGCAATATAATTTTTTGAGGAAGTTGTGCAGAGATTCCTAAGGATTATATGGTGAGTTTGTTGTGAAGGAGTGTAAGTTCATTGTTACTTCTAGTAGCAAGCAACTAGAAAGGAAGGTTGGTCTTGTGCCAATAGACATAACATTGTAGCAAGTCCAAAGTATAAGTAACCATTTTTGGTAGGGAGAGTCAATTTAGTAAAAAATTGGATCAATTTAGCAATTTTCTATATATATGTAGATATTTGTATAAATATATATATATATATATATATATATATATATAATTTATTACTTGTAAATATTATATATATTTTAAAAACTGGTTATAATCTTTAAATTACTAAAAATAAATATTATAAGTATTAATTTTAATGTTCTTATTTTATTTTTATTTTAAATATATAATTTATAAAAAATAATATTATATTTTTATAAATACCAATAAAATTTATAATTTTATATATACCTATTATATATATATGTATATTTTAAGTTGATCATAAAAGGGGTTCACCTTAAATATCATTAAATAATATGTAATTGTGACAACTTACTATTATCATATTGCTTATTAAATCAAATATTAATTTCTTTATTAAATTTTTAATCTAGTATGTTAAATATACTATATACATTTTTAATTTTATCTTTTGCACGTACACTAATTTGCTTACATTAAATTATAACCAAAAACTAGCTTTGTCTAAAAAATAACATATAAAATTTATATATATGTGTATATATTTATAACCTTCAGTGTTGGCCATAAATTTGTATGGACTTTCACTTGATGAGGATTGGATGAACTTTACTTTAAATTGCATAATTTCAAATGATTTAAAACCCCCAAAAAAGTTTCCTACGAACAACGATCTTCTGTCGCGCAATCTCTAGAGGGAACGAGGGTCGGACGCGGGTCGGGGGCGGCACCCGAGTCCAGTCGGAGACCCTTCCAAACCCTAATTTCAGGACGGGGGGGGGGGGTTGTGCAGAGATGGCACTTGGACGGAGCAATTGTCACTTGGTGGTGATGGCTCTCGACTGATGTCCGCTTGCTCGTTGCTTCTGATTCTGTAGGATTGCGACAACCCTTAGGAGCCTCGGGTTGCGTGTTAAGCGTAGAACTGGAGCTGAGGATGATAACAGATTTTCGAAGGGTGGCGTTGTGAAGGGAGAGAGCACGGGATTGGTAGTGTTTTAGTATCGCAGCAGTGGCGGAGGAGCCGATTGCCATGGACGGCTCGGAGAATCATGGGAGAGGGCCGACGGGGGCGACGCCTGAGCAGATCGACGTGGAGAGCTACGCGAGCCTGTACTCGGGGCACACGAAGATCGCTCGCTTGCATTTCATAGCGGATCATAGCAATTCCCGCAATTTGGAGCTCGAGGCTTTGCGGATGGCGTTGGATGAGATTCGGAAGGGGGAGAACACGGTATTGTTCAAAGAGTGTGTGGAGAAGATAAACGGGCGCCTAGGGCCTGGTTACGGATTGGACCAGGAGTGGATTGATACGGTGGAGCGCCGGGCTGCACAGCGGCAGGAGAAGCTTGAAATGGAGCTCAATGGATATAGGGTGTCCGTCTAGCCCTTTCTTTCTGGTTAACGGATTTTAGGGTTAATCTTCTAGTATTTGGGAATGACGAAAGTGAAATTTGTATGGCCTTCTTAATCAAGTTTCTTGTATTTATTTGTGATGTCTCCTTGTGAGCTAATCAAGAATATGCAAGGCTTTTTTTAACAAGTTGTTTTCAACAGACAAACCTGATCAAAGAGAGCATTCGAATGGGCTACAATGACCTCGGCGATTTCCATTATGCTCGCGGGGACCTTCAGCAAGCCTTCAAGTGCTACGTGCGGACACGGGATTACTGCACAACCTCCAAACACATAATTGCTATGTGCTTGAATGTTATTTTGGTTAGCATTGAGCTTGGACATTTTGTCCATGTCTCAAACTACGTTTCAAAAGCTGATCAGACTCCTGATGTGCAAGACCCCGTCGTGTTAGCCAAACTCAAATGTGCAGCCGGTTTGGCACACCTTGAGAGCAAGAAGTACAAGTTAGCCGCCCGCAAGGTACTTAGCTGGTTCTTTTCTAAGTGTTTTCTTATTTTTCATGTTGTGATTCGGGAAAGAAGCCGCAATACAGTTTGAGTTACGTACTTGGGAACTCTGTACTTCCTGAGGTTCTAAATTGAGTTACATCTCAGGCTATAGAAATTTAAGTTTTGAATGAACTATCAAATTATTGGTTGTGATAGACGAGATGTCCCTTGAGGAGTTAAAGTGGGAAGTTCGGATTAGCATATAAAGGCGTTACAGCTCATGCTATTGGTTTGGTACGCAGTTTGTTGACACGAACTTCGAGTTGGGTAGCAACTACTCAGATGTTATAGCTCCCCAAGATGTTGCAACATATGGAGGTCTTTGCGCGCTTGCATCGTTTGACAGAGCGGAACTTAAAGTAAAATACCAAACCCTCTTTTAATTATTTTTTTTAGTGATCTTTCTGGCTTATAAACTCTGCTATCGTAGCTTTTATCATGAGTTAGTAAGATGGATTTAATTCATTTTAATCATGTCCAATCTGTCGCCAATTGGTAGAGTAAAGTGATTGACAACATCAACTTCCGCAATTTTTTGGAGCTTGTCCCTGAAGTGCGAGAGCTGATCCATGACTTTTATGCGAGGTATGAGTTTTGTTCAGTACCAACTTTTACCTCTATATAATTTGCCTATTACAAAGTTTTGATCTGCGGTCTATTGGGTTTCCACTCTTAATGTTCAATAAGTTGCTGGTGATCATAGAATTCAACCTGTAAAGCCTCTTCAGTTTTGCCGCAATTCGAAATTTTACAACACATGACCTGCGTAACATCTTGTAGGTTTCTCTGAAAAGAATAGAGAATATATAATTCGTGGTGTTCTTAGAGTACGCATGTTTAAATGTCGCAAATCACAACAGCCAAATTTTACAAATCATGTGAACCAACTTATAAGTCCAAATTCCTTAACTCACATTTGATAATGCGAGATGGCGTATCTCGTATTATATAGAATGTTTTCCTGAAAATTGGCACAATTGAATTATGGATACGTGCTTTATTAAAATTGTACGTTCCAAGGACAGCACTTTAATGCGGGATAAGATTGATGGATGTTTATTTTAAGCTAATTCTCAAAGATAGCCATGTTTTTATTGGAGATCAGAGATCGGGATGAACTTTAGGTTGAACCAGACAAAATCCTGTGCCTTCCATTATCAAACGACAGTTTGTTGCTTTGTCTTGGTTATGACCTTGTTTCATCTCTAGAGATATTTTTGTTTTCGTATCTTTTGCAAGATTTTATCACAACTCGATAGCGCTGTAATTTGGACGTGTTGTTGGACTGATCTTACATCGGCTACCGGCTCTCCCCATTCAGTGATTGGGATTAGAAATAAACTTTCCAAAAGTTTGTTGCCCAGTCTGTTTCTCAGCTTAAAGTTTTCAAGAGAACACGAATGGGTTGCTCTGTGCTTGGAAGCTTAATGGCCTCGGTGTTATGCTGTCAATACACAGTTACTAAACGTGTTCTGGCTCATATTTCAGAGCCTCTGGTGATTTGTTAAGTAGAGGATATGATCAAGTGTTCTATGGTTGACCTTTGGATGTTTTTTGCAGTCGATATGCTTCTTGCTTAGGGTATTTGCAAAAGCTGAAACCGAATTTATTGCTCGATATTCATCTATACGATCATGTGGAGACATTATATGAGCAAATTAGACACAAGGCCCTTATTCAGTACACGAACCCCTTCATCTCAGTAGACCTGAACACAATGGCCAGTGCTTTCAAGACTAGTGTAACAGGGTTGGAGAAAGAGCTAGCTGCACTTATTACGGAAAATCAGATCCAGGTACATTCCAGAGCATTTTACTGTCAAAGTCACTTGTTTCGCTGTGTAGTGATTTCTTTCTACACTCGCATTTTTAGAGAAGGCGTTGGATCTCTGCATTGTTAATTCGTGGTTGTTTCGGGGAGTAATTGAAACGCACAAAGAGTTTTCATGACTTTAAATTCTTTAGTAATCCAAGCAATTGCCGTGAACTACTTTAGGCGGCATGTTGAAAAGGCTTGTATGTGTTATGTTGCAGGCTCGTATCGATTCACACAACAAGATTCTGTACGCACGGCATGCAGACCAACGTAACACGACTTTTCAGCGAGTGCTGCAAACAGGCTCTGATTTCCAGAGAGAAACAAGAGCCATGCTCCTTCGTGCGAATCTAATGCGCCAAGACTTTGTCATGAAGGGGAATCGAAAGCAGCCCTAAATAGCCTATGTATTAAAGCTGAAGAATCAGTGTGTAACTCGTATCAATGTCATCTGAAATATCAGAACCAGGCTTCTTGGTATGCGCTCAAGCAGCCAGCTATTTTACAAGCATGTTCATGTCTTGTTGAATGATCTTTAACGCATTACATTGATCTTATATATATTTTTCCCAAGTCCAGAACAAAATGTACAGATAAAAGCATGGTTTACTTTGACTGTTGATGTATCTCTGTTTTCTTCTTTTCTAATAATCCTTAATCACCTTAGAGTTAGAAAACCTTATTGACTGTTAAATGATTCGAAATTCATGAGAGAAGTGTGTAGTTCAAAACTTATACATTCTTTTTTTCACATCCATTTCCAGGTTTCACAGAAATAATTAGTTGTCTCCCTATAATTAACCCCCCCCCCCCAAAAAAAAAAAAAAAAAAAAAAAAAAAAACTAATAACCTCAATAATTAATCAAAATTTTGTGAACCGACTCCAGCTAAAATCTAACGATCTAGTGGTCTTTGTTGGATTGATAATCAATACTTGTTTCTGCAAGGGGTGATAACAATTAGCGGGAGGGACAACTGTATATATATTGTTTTTTTCAATACAATTGTAAAACCCTCATATTCTAACAAATATCTGTTACAAATTCCAAGCAACCATGCTGGCAATGTTCGTGATATCTACATTGATAGTGATACTGTTAACCATAAATCTCAAGTACCAAACACTGATTTTTCAACTACCAACATCGTGTTGCGACAATGCATGTGATGTTTATATTATTTTTCCGTATCAAAAACTGCAATCCATTGAAAACATATTAATTTGACATTAAACATCATTGTTTTCATTTGAATAGCGATACTTATATACATCGATATCCACGTTCAGGTACTAAAACCACTGTGGAGCAAAATTACTGCAACCAGTAAGTTTAAATTTAATCTTTCTAACCTTACAGTGTAAATATTGGTTGTATTCTAAGGTTATTGTATCATATAAAATAGTTTTTTGTTAAAACAATCAGTGTTACTATATCGTCAACCATCATATCATTAATTTTAAAATTTGTTTCATGACAACAATTTGTGACAAAATCAGCTGAAGATTGTATGAATGTGTGTGTGTGAGTGTCTTTCTCTCTATATATATACAGACTTGCATATTCGCACATACGAGGGCTAAAGAGGGGCTCTTCGGATATAAATGGTGTGATCTTTCTCTTGAGAAGGCAATTTCAAACCAAGCAGGAAGCCAAAAGCTCAAAAACAGGATCATGTTGACAGGAATGACTCTGAAGACGCTGTAGGTGACGAGCATTAGATGAAGCAGGTTTGATTTTTGCTTCGAAGTGATCTTCAACAAATTTTCACCGAAACGAGTTTGCTCACATCTCCACTCCCATCACATCCCGCCGTTGTTCTGATAGCGTTGGCTTGAAACCCAGGAACTAAAATCGCTTCTTCAGCATCTTTCACGGCAACGGCAAAAGAAGAAGAAGAATAGAAACTCGCATGAAAAAAACAAAACTATGTAGCTGAACTACGAAGTCCACAACTGTGACCATGGATGAGGCAGTGCCAGTGTAAGTGAGTAAGCTCAAGCGAGATATAGCGAAGGAGAGGGGATGAGCACCGAGAGCAGGGGCAGGATGCAGAACAGAAGCGGGTGCCCCACCTGAGGCACAAATCTCACAGGCCAGACTTACAAAGTAGACACTGATGTAGGCCATGGCAATGTACCTTACTTCATCAATCTGCATTTGCCACAATCTCAAGTAAATTTGTTTTCGGATCAGCTGGCTGTTTTCCACGGTGGGACTCAATTGACACAAATCGATACAGAACACTTTATGCAGTTGCTACCACTGTAACCCACCGGCGTGTTCTCTGCACCAAGACTTCCTTCCCAACATGGGTCTTCAAAGAATTGTGTCATTTAATGCAACCAGAACACAGCGCACCGTTGCTACGCCCTAATTTCCTGACACTTGAAAGTTGAAAGGGCAGTGCTTGGTCAGAATTGGTGCAGTCTGTGATCAGGCAAGTCATTTCCAAACGGAATTCTTATTGGGCCGGTGATTTGTGAACGCCGTCTCTTGAGGAACTGTGAAATCATGTAAATTCTATTTCCAGTGCTAAAAAAAAATGGAATCCACCCGTGCAAGTGAAACTCGTATTGCAGTCTTAATACATGTGAAACCACCAGCAAAACAGATGAGAAGTGTATACCAAAACCACACAGTTCTTGGGAGTTGCAGACTTGCTGAGTTGTTTTGTTTGTACTCCAATTTGTAACCCACTTGCTCGTATATCTCGTGGAAGTCGGTCCGATCGGCAGAGGCTTCCTCTGCACGAGGAGGGCAGCAACAGGCTCAATAAGGACGAAACCTAGCCACGTTGGGCCTTCCTTCGAATGATCTTGTGTTGTGGGGAGGTCCCATTCTCTGCGGACAATAGCTGCCTCCGGGTCCATATCCTCCGTCCCTGTCCAGATAGTATTCTGGGGGAGGACCCTCTCCAGGGCGAGGTTGCGCGATCTTGATCTCGCCGATCTCGTTGCCTCTGATCGTTCGTGAACTGCGGGCTGCTGCGGCATCAGCTGCTTTTGGATTATCAAAGCGCACGTAGCAGAACCCTCTCCGTTTCCTGGTCTCCTTCTCCTTCGGGAAGTACACATCCTCCACTTTCCCATATTTCTCGAAGTGCACTTTCAGATCTTCTTCGGATAGCACATCGGGGACACCACCCACAAAGATACGACAAGCGTTCTTCTTCAGAAACCCATTCCCTGGACAAGCACGTGGTAGGGGTCCGGCCATCCAGCCATACGGCTCCACTTCTGCATGATAATGAGGTGCTTCTGGAATGTATGGAGGATCGACTTGGACGTCGGCAGCTGCACCAGAAGGTCCAGGAGGTCCTGAAGGGACACTTGGTGGTGGAGGGCAGAGCATTGGAGGCCCAAGGGGGTTAGGCCCCAGACCAGCCCCCCACGGAACATACGGCTGATCATATCCTCGGTGCTGTTGCTGCTGCTGCCGGTGAATGTCTTGATCCCGGTGCCACAGTCCTCGTTCTGATGGTCGAGGCTCAGCTCTACCTACTGGCACATGCTTCCCTTCTATCTCGTGGGACTCCAACTCCAACTGCCATCCCCGAAATATTAATCAACCCACGTAGCATCAACACAAAAGTCGAATTGAAACAGCAATTATTCCTCCAATCGTAATCAAACAATGTGGTGTTTTGTTCAGGGAAGTGTCCTTCAAATTTCTCGCGGTGTTACATGTCCCAATGCTGGAGGACGTTTGAAATCTGCTCAACAAGAGGGGAAAAAACAGAGCAACTCTAGTGGATAACTGTTTTTTCTCACGCTCACTCGCTTCGTCTGCTCCATAAAGGGTGCGGATTTCACGTTAAGGCCAAGCATCCAGTCCGTTGCGCTGATTACCTTCAGCTTACGAACCTATCTGATATCAAACTGTATGTTAACGTCCATCAAAATGATTGCAATTCGTGCGGATTTCCGATCCGGCTCATGCATTAGCTCGAGAATCATAGAGAAACGAGACCGGTTTTTTCATCCTCGCGGTTCTCACTAAACGACAGCCGATCGCAGACATCCTCAGACCCAGCTCCTGCAAGAACACAATCACCAATCTACGCCACAAAATGGATCCGACCCAGACAAAACACTCCCTGGTAACATCAACGCACCATGCTAGACTTCACACCGAAGTGGAAAGAAAAAGTCGAGTATCAATTTCCCCAACCCATACCTCCCCATCCGCCCCCTGAGCACACTCGATCGCAACCCACCCCCAACAGATTCCTGCACGATCAGGAGACAAATAAAGAAGCAATTACCGCACGTTGCACGGCTTCCTCGCAGTCGAAGGAGACGTAGGCGAACCCTTTGGGCAGTTGCGGCGGCAGAACTCGCGGTATGTACACGTCTATCACATTGCCGAAGTTGGAGAAATGGCGGTGTAACACTTCGGCGGTGATCTCGCTGGTCACTCCCGACTTCACAAACACGCGGTGCCGCTCTCGCACCATTGTGGGTGCTGCTGCTTGTGGGGGCGCATCCCCACTGTACAACGCTGCTGCTGCTACAGTACTCGCTGTGGCTCCGGCGTTTCCTCCTCCGAAGACGT